CGATCTCTGCTATGATTCTCGTTTCGAGCCTAATGAAGCCGAAGCCTCTTTCCTTGTTAATAAATATCTCGCTGGCTTTTCCATACTTGGTGAACAGCTTCTCCAGGTCCTCCTCGGTAACACCCGTTGGTAAATTACCTACAAACAGCCTGCTCCGCTGGGTAAAGGTCTTTTCCCCGGGCTTTCTGAAGCTCTGCAGGTCCAGGGTTAAGGCCTCGTTGGGGTTGGTCTGCTCGCTGGGCTCTGGCTGCTGCCCGTTGCTGTTTGTTCCTTCGCTTTTCAGCTGCTCTCCCGGGCGGTTTGGGCCGCGGTTCTGCTGGGGGCCTCTGTTTCCTTGCATTCTCGCAATGGATTTAAAATCTGAAGTAGCAAATGGCTTGTTAAAAACACAGAAACTCTTTGCAAACGGTAGCGCACAAAGAGCTGTGAAAATGGCGAAGGTACGTGCTACCGCTACGCTATTGTGACCTCAATTCGTCGCGACATCGGCGACGTAGTTTATGTGCGACGGTACGAGAAAAAACAACAATAAAACAAAAACGATGCAGGTATTTAAAAAATATGTAAAATTGTAAGTGTATAAAAATAACAAGGCTGTCTCAAATGTGTTGTTTATATGTTTCGTTCCTTACTACGGGAGCTTTAGATTTTTGACTTTTTAAAAAATATTTTCTTACTTCTCGCGATAGTTCGCCCTCGTACATAGAGACTGTCACCGGTGAGCGGGTGATTTCGCGGGAATTATTCCTGTTGCTCGCAAGCTACTGAAAATAATCGTCGATATCTGAAAATATCAACACGCACTTGATCTCAGAGGAGTAGCAACTGAAGTGCAAACGTCTATTTTCTTCGGTAAGGTCGTTATATCTGTCATATTGTATTAGTTTTCAGGGTATTCTCATGAAAAGTCGGGATGCTTAGGAAAAACCCAGACAACTTTACTTGCGCTTGTAAGCATGTTATTGAGTGGACTGCTTTAAATTAATAGCTTTTGAAATCTAAAATAGACCCATTTCTATGTCTCCTGTGCTTTTATTCAGGACAGTCATGTTCTCAGACCTAAGTGTACAGAAGGAGGGCTCCTCTCTGCTCTGCCGTCCTGCCTCCGAGGACCAGGGCCCGGTGTTTGAGAGGACGTCTCTGGCTTATAGTCAGTGCTCTGAACGCTACAGAATTGGGGAGCGGAGCTTCAGCCGCCAGTATGCTCACATTTACGCAGCGCGACTTATGCAGATGAGGCCTCTGCTGTCAGAGAGAGCTCAGCAGAAGTGGGGTAAGCTCAGAGCAATCTTACCTACCTACATCAGGGACACTGAAACATTTGATTTCTATTTCTTAATCTGTTTTTTTCTGTTCTGTATCCGTCAGGATCAGATGTGGTTATCAAGAAGCTGTGTGATCTAGAACCAGCGGAGCAGTGTTGCATTGTAGGGACTATGTTCAAGCGTATGGACTTGCAGCCATCTATTCTGAAAGAAATCAGTGAGGAGGTTGGAAGTAGTGCTAAATTCACCCCACACATTGAAAGCAGCTACTGGATTGTACTTTAACAACTTTCTTTTTCCTTGCTCTCCAGCACAACCTCCTGCCCCAGCCTGCACGAGCAAAATACATTCATGAATCAGATGAGTTGATTCTGGAGGATGAACTGCAGAGGATTAAACTAGAGGGGAAAATTGACAAAGACAAGTGTGTCACAGGTTGGTAGTTTTTCAGGATGTCAGCATCATATGAGCTGTGGATGTATGAGTCTGATGTAGGTGTTTCTTGTTGTCTTTCTTAGGCAGCGTCATTGCAGTATATGGTGCCGAGAGGAACGATGGGAAGTTCACAGTTGAGGACTTTTGCACAGCGGATCTTCCTTTGCAGAAAGCAAGGCCTGCACTTGACTCTGACAGGTATGAAAACACATCTAATTGGTGTAAATTCCTGCCTGTAGTGATAAACAACATTAATTGCTTTGCCTGCCTTCATACAGGTTTGTGCTCCTGGCGTCAGGTCTGGGTCTTGGCAGTACTCATGCTGACAGCATGCTGGGCCTACAGTTGCTTGTCGACATGGTAACTGGTCAGCTCGGTGACCTCGGGGAGCAGAGTGGTGCAGCAACAATTTCCAGGGTTCTGCTGGCGGGAAACCTCCTGAGTCAAAACACTCAAGACAAGGATGCATCAACAAAGGTGAGGAAAATGGTTTGTACCTTGTCATATAGTCTCGTTCCTCCCAAGTCACTCATGTGAAATGGTTTACTTAAAACATAAAAATAAATATTTTACCCTTTCTCTGGTTTTTTGTTTTGTTTTTTCCCCCCAGGCCAAGTATCTTACTAAGAAGACTCAAGCTGGCAGTGTGGATGCCATTCGTTTGCTAGATGAGTTGTTGCTTCAGCTGGTGGTAAGTCTGAAGATTTTGACACAGTTTACTTTAATGATAAATGTTTATGTTATGATTCGTAACCTCCAAGAGAGCCAAGGGAGGACCTGTGATACTGTATGAGAAAGTATGGAAGGAATGATAAATGGGGATGGGATTAAACCAGGGATTGCCTTTGAGCCCTTTGTTTTTTGCAGTGGTGACAGGCTGGCATATGAGTTCAGGCAATCTCCATGGAGTATGATATAGTTAGGCGACACTGCGATCTGTAGTAAGAGTAAGGAGCAGGTGGTGGAGAAGCTGGGGAGGTGGAGGAAAGTCAGTCGAATCGAAACAGAATACATGTGTGTGAATGACCGGGAGACGGGTATGAAGGCGAAGGTGTAAGAAGCAGAGGTAGGGAAGGTGGATGAGTTTAAGTACCTGGGGTCAACCATCCAAAGCAAGGAGTTAGGGCTACATCTAAAGATAATTTGGTAGTCAACTAATCTGCCAATTTTTTAGTCGATTAGTCCGTGATTATTTCAATAACTCTTATCTCCGTTTCCTGTGGGCAAACCACCTGTTCTGGGCTCCAGTATCTCATCTGCCCACCAGTGAATATCACCCTGTTATCTTGTCCCACAGCAAATTGGAAGGAAAGCTCCGCTTTGCACAATCTGCATTTACTTTATTTGTTTTCTGTGAAATTCTTTCACATTTTTTTTTTTTAATCCCCGTTTCCATTTTCTTCTGTCCTGCTTTGCAGTTAGCACTACTTTCTTCTTCTTTAGTATTGAGTTCAGTCTTGGCAGACGAAAGGGGGTACTGCCCCCATTGCCCCCTGTAGTGTATTGCAGTTAAAAAACACATTTACTTGGTATTAGAATGTGACACGTCGACAATAAAATTACATGTCGCTAAATTTTAATTGTTGACGTCATTGATTATGATAAATCGTAGCAGCCCTACAAAGACTGCACAAGAGAGGTGAAGAAGAGCAGGTAGATGAGCTGGACATGCTGTAATATATGATGTATTGTATGGAGAGGGTGGTGCTGACAAAAAGACAGGATGTTGAGCCTGGAGGAGGCAGAGTTGAAGATGCTCAGAGTTTCATGGAGAGTGGGCAGGATGGACAGGACTAGAAATGAATTTATCAGAGTTACAGCTCAGGTTGAGCGGTTTGGACACTAAGTTAGAGAGACAGGCTGAGGTGGTTTGGGCATGTGCAGAAGGGTGATGGTGGATAAACTGGACTGGAGGAAAAGAGGAATACCACAGATTATTACCGTCTAAACAACTCTACTGTTTTGTTTTTTTCTTTTGCTACACATTACTGTCTCCTGCTGATTAAGGCCTCGGTTCCTGTGGATGTAATGCCTGGCCAGTACGACCCCACCAACTACACCCTCCCACAGCAGCCTCTCCACCGATGCATGTTCCCCTTGTCGTCCGTTTACCCCACACTACAGCTGGCATGCAATCCATACCACGCCAGCATAGATGGAGTGAGGTAAGCACATGTTGTTACAGTGGGCATGAAACACTACAAGTATACAGGCTAATTTACACCATAGAGCCCTGCTCTCAAAAACTAACATGGATATAACTCTGTTTGTGTAGCTGGATTTGGAAAAATAAGTGCTTACAGTTTAAATTTTCAACGTGTTTAGCACTATTTCTTAAATCCAACTTCACAGACGCACTATGTCAGTTTTTCAGAGCAGGGCTCCATTTATGCCTCATGTCCACTTTAATATTCACTTCTAGGTGCAGATATGTTTAGGTTTACATGTATTTGCTTGTTTCCTTGAAGGTTCCTCGGTACATCAGGGCAGAACGTCTGTGACATTCAGAGATACAGCAGCAGGGACAGCCACTTGGAAATATTAGAGGAAACGCTTCGACTCCGACATCTGGCCCCGACGGCACCTGACACATTAGGTTAGTTGATACAGAATAACACGCAGAGCCTCTGGTAAATCTAAACACACTATTGATTTATTGACAAGATTTTCTTTGAATTGCTCAGGTTGTTACCCATTTTACCAAAAAGACCCTTTCATCCTGGAAGAGTGTCCCCATGTTTACTTCAGTGGCAATGCCCCTACTTTTGACTCCAAGCTCATCAAAGGTTAGTGCATGCCATTTGCATGTAAACAGAAGAAACTTTGTGGATGTTATCATATGATCTGTTTTAAGCTACAAATGTACTATTCACACAGACTAATGTGTAATAAATAATTAACTGTTGCTGCTCGTATTCTCATCCCGCCAGGTCCGGATGGCCAGGAAGTCCTTTTGGTTACCGTTCCAGAATTCAGCAGCACACAGATGGCGTGCCTCGTCAATTTACGCACTCTTCACTGTGAGCCAATCAGCTTTTCTGCCTTCTCTGCAGATGAAGATGAGGAAAGTGAGATGAACGTAAGCCACTGAGGACACAGCTGATGCTTTTTTTTTTTTCTTTTGGCCACAGAAGGATCAAATTAACTTCAATCCAAAAAACACAGAAGCTTTTCAATAAGATACATTTACCTCATGGGTTCCTTTCAGTGTTTCTGTTAAAATAACATTTGTTGTTTGGTTTTTTTTTTCATTGAACTGAAAGAAAACCAGCAAATGAAAAAGAAAAGAAGAGACCCTCGTGGTTTAATAAGAAGCCTTTATTTGAAAAATAACTCTTCTAACCCATCTGTGTCTGAGAAAACATGATAAAAACCTCTGTACTCCTTCATCTGTTACCAACTTCTCCCACATTTACTGAATGTTCACACTAAAAATATTTCTGCCATATGTGAAGATCGTGTAAATAACTGTTTTTCTTATGTGCATCCACAATAAACTTCTTTTCACGAAGCATTCGTAGAAGTGATTGAACGAGTCAGAGAATAATGAAGTGTGATCTTTGGAAAAAAAATCTATAAAATGGTTCCATTTCTGTGAAGTGACCTATTTCAAATGTTGATTAACAGATGTACTATTTTAATATAGCTGATATTCTGTACATTCCCATTGCTTACGTCGTACAAAGACGAGAGCCCTAATTTGATTCTTCAGCCAGCTCTAAGTACAACACGGCAACGTGAACTACAGTTAAGAGAGGACGGTGGTTTACTTGAAACAAGCAACTTGTGTTTTCTTTAATAGTCACTGATCTTGTAGTCATAGTCCATGATGGAGTCTGTGAAGCCGCCAGGAGTTGAGGACTGTCCCTCTCCCCAGACCCAAGATTCATACCAGGATGTGGTGGCCTCTGTTGTTGTGGGAATTGTGGTTGTTGTAGGGGGTAACGTCGTTCTCATCGACATGGCCTTCATTAATTTCTTCTGGCGAAGACGACGGATGAGAGCGATCTTGCGCTTCCGTCGCTGCTCAGGACTGAGTCGAGAATTTGTGGAAGAACCATTACTGGTACCGATCACACTCCTTTGGCCATTGTTGACTGTGGTGTACTGTACTCTGCTATTGCTGTAGGCAATTCGAATTGGCTTGTTGCCGTGGAGGGCCATAATCTGCAGAGAAATTAAAGAAAAAACAAAGAGGCTTTACTGAGTACTGCTAAGATGCACATGTATCGAGGCACTTCAAGTTGGGACAGTCTTACCTGTTTAATGCGGTCCCAGTTGGACTTGGCCAGGTTGAAGCTGCAGGCAGTCGCGCCCGACTCATAGCCCACCACACAGAGTTTCGTCAACGAGGAGAAGCCCTCAGCTCGAGCCGTCACGCGGTACTCCCCGGGGTTAAGCAGACGCCAATAATCCCCCGTTGGTGCTACAATGGCAACAGTAGTGTTGAGCACAGTTTGAGCTATGTTATGTTTTATTACATCCTGAGTGATGGCGTGAACAGTATACTGACCTGTGGTCACGTCGTGATTTATCCCCTCGATAGATACAGTAGCATTTGCAATAGGGTTCCCCTGCTGATCTTTCACAATCCCTCTAATGCCGCGATGCACCTGAAGTACACAAATAGTTACATGAGTGAAAGAAGCAAAGTACAAGGTACAGTTGCTGAGTAGTAGTTCTCTTCAACTGCTCAGTAAAATCAGTAGGTTCATTTTTTCATGAGTGGACTTTGGAGTAAAATTGAGCAAAATTATACTTGGACTGATCCAAAAAACTGTGGTTTAATGATTCAGTTATTCTAAAATGATTCCACTCAAAAATCATCCATTACAAAAGAATCATATTTGATCCTACTCCCATTTTTATGTTGCATTTGAGTCTTGAGTGGCCTATTTTAAGTGATATGCAAATTGTTTTTATCATTGAAAAATTTATATGTATAATATAATAAACTGTTTTGATGAGTGGTATATGAATTTAAACACCTGCGATCAACTTTTCAAAGCAACAGACAGTTAACTTATACAGCCAAAGCAAACATTTGCCTCCAAGAGCTCCGCAAACTGTACAACATATGACATCCTCTGTCAGTCGACCATCAGTGGACAAATCTAAGGATATAAGGGAGCAACCTCGGGAAAAGCAATACAGCGTGGGAAACATCTCGTTTGGACAGAGGAGGAATAACTGCAAAATCACAATGCTGTAAATCCAAATTTTAGGTACTTTTATTTATTTATTTCTTTTAGAAATTTTAAAATCCAACATTATATCCAGCAGGATGTTGAATAGTCTTTTCACTGCAGACTGAAGCACAGTCAGGACAGGTTACAGTTTGTGTTTGTTTGGGACTAACCTGCTCCATGAAGATGAGCATTGCTTCTCTGTTTTTCTCCCACTCATACGCCAGCTCGCTCTGATGAGGGAACTTATCACAGCCGAGGAAAATGGACAGCTCCAAACAGTTGGTGTGCAGGTAGCTGAAGTCATTCATACCTGCAGGGAAGATCAAGAGCATGTTTTGCAACTACTGTCCACCAGGGTGTGCTATAAACATACGTGGGAATTTAAACGCACTGGTCTCTACTTACTGCCTGTTACTGGCTTCCATTTGGCCCGGTTGACAATTCCAAGACCCCCTCCTGGTGTGTCTCCTTGGCAAGATCCGTGATGGCTGTGTGTCATGGTCAGGTGTGTGGAGGCATAGGAGATAGCTAGCCACCTGAAGAGGGATTCGTCTGCAGTCACGCGGGGCTCATCTTCAGATTCAGCATAATGGTAGCCTGCACTTCTTCCTCTGTCATCGTCTTCTTCCTCCCTGTGCCCATAACCCTGGTTGTACGCGTGATTGTAGCCATGGTCGTACCCAGGGTCATAGCCATGGTCGTACCCAGGGTCGCGACCATGGTCATAGCCTGTGTCGCGACCATGGTCATAGCCTGTGTCGCGACCATGGTCGTACCCAGGGTCGCGACCATGGTCGTACCCAGGGTCGCGACCATGGTCATAGCCTGTGTCGTGACCATGGTCATATCCATGGCCCCGCCACTCCTCTTCTGGCTCTGCATACCCTCTGCTTCTCCAGTCTTCCACTGGCTCCTCATGGTAGCCCCTTTCCCACTCAGATACATCAAAACCTTCATCCTCATACCTGCAGACATGATTCTAAATGAATTATTAAGCACTATTTTGGTGGTTCACAGAGGTGAAAAATTTGCATTTGGACAATACTTGTGTACATAAAGGTACAGAAACAACAACAGAACACAGGAAGGGAAACAAGTCATACTGTCTCTTCTTGCGGCTCTGAGGTTTCTGGCTCTCAGCAGGCTTTTTGAGACGTAAGCTGTCATAAGGATAGGCCACAATTCTCTCCCCACCCTGGAAGTTTGCACCCAACACAAATGGATAGCTTTTCATCCAGGAGATTATGGCCCTGGTTTCCACAGCAATCTGGAACAAAAGCAGGAAGATCAGGATCACACAGACAGAGGATCAGAATCTCATGTAACATACTTTTGTTTACCACAACCTGGTTAGTCTCAAAGGCTTTATATATCTATATCTATATCTATATCTATATGCGTATTTGTTTGTTTGTTTCTTTACCGAACTATTAGCTTCAAAGTGCTCTGGTATAGGCACATGATGGTTGGGGGTGAGTTTAGGCACCATGCCCTTATCCTCAGCATCCCACAGGATACTATTCAGATCAGGGAAGTTCTGGAAGATGTCAAAGCCCTCATTGGTGAAGTGACCAGTGGTCCAACTGCTCAGCTCTGATCCCTGCAGAGTAGAAATTGGGTAAAAGGAACATACTCATCTAAGTAGCCCACTATGTTTCACAGACATTTCCTCTTTGTTTTAGACAGTATTTAAAACATGTTGTCATTGATTGATTGTTTTTTACACCGACCGCTTCAAAAGCTTCCTCCTGTCCGTCAGGGTTGAGCGAAGGAACCAGGTGGATGCGTATTCCCTCCACCAGGCGCTGGGCTCTGGGGTTTCTGTCTTTATACTCTTTGCACAGGTACTGCATGAGAAGCAGGATCATCTCCCGACCCACTGCCTCATTTCCATGGAGACCTGCCGTGAAGCGGATCTCTGGCTCACCTGTGGGGACAACCGGGGCGAGACTGTAATTGTCTGTCAGCCTTAATCTGCTGGTGTCCGCCTGGTGTTTATTAGGATTTGCGGGATACCACAGTGGTGCCATAAAGACCCAGCGTAATTTCAACGAATCAGCATCCCAGACTGTTTGAAATACTGCACATTACAGCATTTGTGTTGTTATAGCACACATTACAATAAGAACACGTCTATCTGCCCGTTTCCTGCTTGAGATCCCACCTATTTCGTGCTCTGTGGGGTTGCCAGAGATTATCATGGCAACAATTTCCCGTCCCTTGGAGCTGCGGCCCAGGCTGTAGATGGTGGTGATGTTAGGGCACTCCTCATTCACTGACTTCATAAGCTGAATAGGTGAGATAAAGACAACAGTAAATATGCAAAGCATTGTATTTGATTACATTACACACTACAAAGCAGATGGTTAATAATGAATATTATGGTATTGTGGAAATGTCACGTTGATCTCTGGTGGTTCAAATGAAAAACTGAGACAGAATGAAGCTGCAATTTATATTGGAGCATTTAAAGCGGACCTCCTGGAATTCTATCAGCCAGCAGATAAACTTTGCAGGGAAACTCACATCAACCATCTCCGAGTAGCTGTGGTGTTTGAACTGCAAGTAGTCCACGGGAGTCACCTCATTTTGCCTGTACAGAACATTAACTGGATCTGTTTGGAGAAAAGAGCAGCAAAAATTATTCATTTTCTGTGTTTAAGGTGTGTGTGAGTGTGTGGGCATACGACTCACCAGGCAGGGGGCAGCCTAGGACCTCCAGCCTCATACAAAGAGAGCCGTTCCAGCTCTGCGGGATAATTCGCATGTAGCGGGCCACCACGGGCACCGCAAGCTGGTTCATCACTGGGGTGTCCTTATCATTATTTCCAAAAAACAACTGGACAAGAGGGAACATGTGATTGAGGGGGAGAGGAAGACGAGTATTGGTGCTTGTGGAAGTGGCACAGTTTTAGATGAACTCACCCAGTCGGCGTATCCATCGTGAATGGTAGTCCACTCTCTGCTGTCATTGCTGAAAGCCAGGAAGTAGGACGTCACGTAGTCATTGCTGAAAGAAGAAGAGGGCAAATTGTTGGGTGTAGGAATGTCAAATGATGCATATTTATGTCTGCGTGTCTGTTTGTCTCTTACTCATTTAAGGAGTCCCTTCCCTGAGTAATGACTCCGGTGAACTCTGTCACCCTGCGAGCATCTATCTCAAACCAGTGGATAGCATCCTCTGAATTTGCACACCACGCTCCACCTCTTATGTTTTCCTCATCATCAGAGCCCTGAGAACCACGGAGACACATGCTACTGAATACTTGAACCCTTTGAGTATCTTGAGTGCCAAAGCAACATATCTACTTTTGCATCCATTAACAGAAGAATTTGGATACCCCCACCCGCCCACCTCCCAAAAAAAAACACATTGTTGATTTAAATACTGAGGACTTAAAAGAATCCGTCAAGCATGTACCACTAAGGCAGCTCCTGGAAGTGACAGACCCAACAATAACAGTATTTTTCAGTGTTGCTGGCAGCTGGTGGTTATTTCAAGGCCTGCTTGTAAGTGCATGGCCCCGCCCTGATTGTTGTGTACCTGCATGTTTAGGCGCGCCCTCTGAGGTGCAAAGTGATACTGAGACATAGAAGAGGCTGAAAGCTGATCTGGCTCGACCTTGTGAGACTCCATCCCCAGGGGAGGACACTCTGCCAAGCAGAAAGAGAACATTTAAATAATGTGTTAATTACATTCAGCAAAAGCTTACGTATACTTTCCAGATTTGAACAGATGTTGACTTACTCTTTGGCTCTTTGAAGACACGCGGCCTGTTCCTGGCTCTCTCCTCTGCCTCCTTTAGCTTCTGCGCTCTCTCTGTCCGAGGCCAGACAAACAGTCTTAATGCAAAATAAATTGCGCTGTCTTGGCTGAATTTTTTTTTTTTACTCTGCCCAGAAATGATGGAGGAACTCAGTATTATTTTACAATTTTTATTTGCCAAAAGTCCTCACAGGGACCTGGAGGGCCAGAGTACGGTTAAAAAACAAAGCACACCAGATGTTATGATTTAGCTTCTAGTCCAAGTCTGCTCTGAAACTATCATCATCATCATCATCCTCCCTCTGACCTGGACTTTTACCGTGAAGGAAGATTGCTAAATCTCTCACCCATTGTCATTATTCATATTCTGACACATACTGGAGTCTGATGCTAGTTCCATGGCTGACAGTGAGAATGTAAAACATGTTGTAAGCTCTCTCACCCACAACACACACGCGCCCCTTTACACAGTATCTGTAGATGCACATAGTTGTGTTACGGAAGAACAACTCTCAGAAATGTCTGCAAAACCATTTCACCTTAGACCTAGTCTGGGTCAAACTGTGCACACAGGAAGAGCCTCATTAACAGCAGTCCTGGTGGTGTTATATATCACTTGCTCTGGGCTTGAACCCTTCAACTTTACGCACGGCAGACACGTGGCACAAAAGAGCTGAAATACTTCTCCCTTTGTTGTCACTCCTCTTCATCCCTCACTTCCAATCCGATGCCGGCACAGCCTTCTTAGCTTATCTCACGCTCTTTGGTTTTGAGATTTCTGAACTCTTTACAGCCCTAATCTCCGTTTTACTTTGGTGGGGTAAACTTTTGTCCCTCTCATGCAAGTTAAAGCAAGTGCCTGAGACGCACACATTTGTATGCATGGAAATCACATCTGCATTCTCTTAGTATGACTAGATATGACTGAGGGGAGACAACATCATTGTTAGTACTTTTCCACTTGGGTTCACGAGGCACACTCTTTGCTTTGACAGGATTACGCACGGTGGTGCAAATAACAAAAAGAAGAATCCCATGTGGGTCTTCTTACCTCTTTCTTCCCTCTCCCTCTCTTTGGCTGCTCTTTCTCGCTCTTTTTCCATCCACTTTTCATCGGTCTCGTCTTCTTTTCTCTCTGAAAACAACAACAACAACAAAAAAGGAAAGAAAATCACTTATAATTTCATAGAAACAACAATGATTACCACAGAGCCATGCACAGTAGTGTACTGTATATGCATGCTTTTTTTTTTGTGGTTTTGCAAGTCATTAAGAAATGTAAACAGGTCATCAAGGAACACTTGAAAGCTATTGACTCAACTGTTGTTTATCCCTTTCTTTTGCTGTTTGCTTTATTGGCAGGAAATTCTCTGTGACTAAACCAATAATAGAAAACATTCGAGCATGGTTGTGATTCACATGTGTGTGAGCGGGCGGCCACATACTCATCCCGTACTCGTCGTAATCATCATACCAGGTCCCCTCATAGGGCGCGGTGGCGGTGGGCTCTTCTGTGTAAAAAAGAACAAACACGAAGTCAGACGACTCGTTCAGCCCCTCGGAGGCGCCGCTACTTTACAGAGTCAAGCTTTATGGGATTACATGCAAAATTTTACAACTTAGCAGTGGCCCGAATTATTCAACCACAAGAGCAGTTTTCTATTTTGATGTTGGTGTGATGCCCGCTGTATAACGTAGCTGTTAAATCTTCAATTCCCCATTTATGAGAAACATAAATTTGCTGGGCTCTGATCACAGGGCTTTTTGTTGCTCTACAAGAAAACTGTGGAAAGTTTTGTTGACTGTGTGGAAGAAATAAACCCACCCACTCTTGTGTGTAAACTAGGGCAGGTCAGCTCATAGATTAGCTCCAGTGTTATTCTCATGTGTTGCATTTCTAATGAAACACAAAGTATGGGCTGGCTATTTCATTTGTATCTCAACGCTTACTAGAGGTTTCACATTAGTTGATTTTGTCATGAGAGTCTGCAGTCACCTGGCAGGATTTCCACCTTAATTTCTGGGCTGACCTCTTTACCATCAGGTGACGGTTGCACCTCATCTGCAGGAAGAAGAATTCAAAAGGTCAAGCTGAGAGGTGATTTAAGTGTAGCAGACAGAGAAATGGGAGAATATAAGCAAGAAAGCAGAATGGCCAAGTATGAGTGAATCATTGGAAATGCTGAAGGAGCATAGGTACTGTACAGTAGTGTGGAAACAAAGAGTAATGAGAGCATGCCATTCAAATCCAGATGAGTGTCACAGGTCTGCACGACACACTGTTTCCAGCATGCATTTCATCCCGTGGAAAAAAAGCCCTCTGTTGACTTCAGCTGGAAGAAATAAAGAGCGCTCATAAAAGTTTTCTCCAATATGTCTGAAAATCGGATCCAAACGATTAGCGGGTATCTGTTATTAAACTTTATTTAATCAGAAGTTTACGCAGTTCCTTCAGCTTAAACAAACCACCGAGTTTACTGAGTGTCCAGCTGATTAATCACTGAACATCCTATTCCTAACCACTTATCCAAATAAGGGTTGGTAAGAGGCAGAAGCATTTTGTAGTTGACAGAGGACAAAATGCAGGGTACATCCTGGACAGATTGCTGGCCTACTCTCTGTAAATGTCTCCCATAGTGCAGTTCACTCCTTTTTTGTGTCCTTCTTTGCTTCTTTCCTTCTGTTTCACAAAGAGTAACACTGTCTTAGATCATCTAGTATGTTTCTGAAGAAAAGAAGCACAAGTGACCACTTTCATGGTGAAATTGAAATATTTAATTTTTTAAATCATGAATTTAAAAGCTTCTTGATAATATCATACAACCCAGCACTGTTAAAAAGACACCTTTGATTCTGTAACTATTTCTGTACACATGACTTCTCAATTAGCATTAAAAGAATGCACTTTAAACTCTGACAATGATCCTTTTTAACCACTACCTGCAGTTTTTATTTCCACACTGCAAAGCAGTAATGATAAAACAAAGGGGAAATTTTGACCTAATTGAGTTCTTGTTGTTTGACTCCTTCATACTTTTAAAGACATAAACTAAAATTTTACTAACTGCCATTATTTTAAATGTCAAGTTTCACAAGACAGAGAGTAAAGCATTTGTCTCGACTCAAGTTTCTGGTTGTATGGCAGGGGAGTGCCTAGAGGAAGGATGTGGGGTGGCATCCATCCCCTCTGAAGGTGAGGGTGTTTCCTAATCTTTTAATACTATTGGAGTAGGTTACTATTAATGCTACAATACCTAACACCATCAGATGAGAGAATTTACTTTACTATTTCATCGAAGTAAGGTTTTAATTTACTTGTACCTTAGTATTTCTATGCTGTTATCTACTTCTACTTCATTACATCTTGTATATAAGTGTCACATTTTGTACTCTTTACCAGTTATTTTAAAGTTGTAGTTACTTGTTAGTTCAAAGCATCTAAAGCAAGCTTTTTAAAGTACAAGCTGATGATAAAACCTTTACTATTACTTAAGTGAAGAGTCAAATTGCTTGTAAAAGTATTTTTTGTGCAGCATCAGTTTCTTTAATACCAATTTTCTGCATTTCTGATAAAAATAAATAAATATTTAAGACAATTTTTTTTTCCTATGGGGCCTCTGCCTTATTCGTGCCCCACACCTTGGCCTACTGAACAATTCCTGTAAACACCCCTGTTAGTTAAGTAAATTCAAGATATTTCTCAGAATTGTTTCAGCCCCCCCCCCATAAATAAACAATTATTTTATTTGTTATTTGTTTCTAGTGACCTCCCTGGGATTTGCCACATGGATCTAATTATGCTTTCATCATCTTATTCATGTTACATAAACTGCCTCCACACTAAACATCCTCAATCAAAACAAAGACACAAAAGACTTATACGTACATGTGGCATCCCAGTAATCGCTGTCATCTGTTCCAGGCTTTGTATCAGGGGCAGCAGGCGTTGGGTTTACTTCTTGCCAGTAGCTGTCATAGTTATCGGTCACAGAGGTGTAGAGGTCTGTCTCGTCCGGTTTCATGTAATCATCGTAGATGGCAGGCACTGAAGTGGGCACTTCTTTCTCTGCTGGTTTCCAATAGTCATCGTAGGCATATGTTACAGGAGCAGCTGGGTCTTCCTCATCTGGTTTAAAGTAGTCTTCATAGGCATCTGTTACGGGGGCGTCTGGCTTCCAGTAGTCGTATGGGGGATCTGTGATCGGAGCCTCAGGCTTTGGCCTGGAGGGTGTGGGCTCAGGACCCCAGTAGTCATCTTCTGGGTTCCAGTAATCAGTTTCTGAGAGGGAAACAGACACAAAAGCTGGCTGATGGTGAGCTCACAAGTCTGGACACAAATATTTTTATGGTTCTCTAGTGTTTTATAATGTTCTGATTTTTGAACTGGATCTGAAATTATTTTCCTCCTTTCCACTACTACTTAGACATATTTCTAGTTTTAAATTTGTATTTGAATAAAAACAACAACAAATCCTCACAAACAAACAAACAAACAAACAAACAAACAAACAAACAAACACTGTAACCCTCGAAGGGTAAAAAATCATAAAAGAGCACAACTTTTTGCCTAATCAGAATAGGTGCTATATTTACATCTAAGTGTGTGTGCCACATTTCAGTCTTCATTTCAGTGTTGTGATTTAGAGATTTAGGTGTGTTATGTGAGACTAATGCAACACTGAGCTGGTAGCTGGCTCAGAAATGAGGAGGGGGCTACATTTGATCTTTCTAACTCTATGCCTGCGGAGTTTTGTCATTTTCAGTAGCTTCTGGGTGCAGAAGCTACTAAGCCTAATGTCAAAGTGTCAAAAATGTCAAAGGGAGAACAGCTTTCTGTCTTGACCTCTGTAAACACTTTCCTGTTGAGCTCAGTCTTTCGTTTTGGGTCATGCTGGATAAAAAATGGTCTGTTTTAAAAATCTTGGTCATTCCACGTATCAAAATGGAAGATTATCTGCGGTATAAAACCGCCCTCTCATGAGCTCCAGTTTCACCAAGATGGCAGAAACAGCTGAAACACTCATCTCAAGACCAGACTTCAGAAACCAATGGGTGATGTCACGGTAGATTCCTCCATCTGTCTACAATCTGGTATTGTACAAAATAAGCTAATGTGGAAGTGACTTAAACTCTCTAATATTCAACAGTGTTGGGACAACGAAGTCATGCTGCATAAAACTTTAATGAGATTAATCATCCCTGTCAAGTTTTTCTGTGGTCATTTTATGGCCTCTGACCCTGGTGTTTGAAATCTTCTTCAGTATTGCATGATCATGATTTGAATGGTCAGATTTTATGTGGACAGTGTCCTCAGGTTCTCACACTCATCCCACACTCCTCTGCAGCTCACCATTGTGTTCACATCCAGCCCTCAAAATGCTTGAGGTTACGGCTTTCAAATTTACAAACCAGAGGCAAATCCACTTCTTTTATGCTCCTGGTCCACCCCAAAACAGACTTGAATGACATAATTTTACGATTTACATAAATTTTCTCAAAGGTGCAGTAGCACTGACCAAATCCTGTTCAGACTTCGATGCATACAATGGTTGAAGTTTCCATTTATATTGTCATGTGTAAATCCCATTTATATTCTTATATTCCCAGCCTTTAAAAAAATAAATTGTTAAACAAGTTTTTCCAAGCCAGTAGTGGGAGGCAATTTAACACACAGAATATTAACATATTAACATTAACACATATTAACAATATAGTTATATGAACTCAAATTTAGTAGTCAACTCAGTCAATATTTTTCAAGCAGCCCCTGCATGTGTGCCACTCACCGGCATCGGGATAGGGGTAATCTGTATATGGTTCGGAGGGTGGCTCCGTTGGGATCGCTGGAAATATAAGACGGACACAAGATTTAACAACAATCAAATCCAAGTGATCAGCGAAGCAGGCTCAAAGCTTAGCATTCTCTTCTCACTTGTTGTGGTCGGGGGCAAAGTTGTGGTTGTTGTCTTCTTGTCCTTCTTCTTTCCCTTCTTGTCGGTTTTTGGCTTTTTGGTGGCTTTGGGGTTTTTTGGCTCTTTGTTCTTCTTCTTGTCCTTCTTTTTCTTCTTGTCTTCATCAGGTGCCCTCCTCACCCGGCCTAAAATATCTGTAAAAACAGGGAAAAGAAGCGGCAGAGAGAGAGAGAGAGAGAGGTTTTCCAGAGCCCGCTTCTCACGGTTCTGTCACAAAACCTTTTGAAATGAAAACATATTCCTCCTTGCATACAGAAGCTAAAGACACAATTAGTTCTTTTATGAGGCTTGGGTCTGAGATTATGCAACTATTTCTTCACTGCATCACATTGCAGTGTTTCCAAGGAAAGTCCAGACTGCCAATTACATTTCAGTGGCTGCTTGAGGTCCATCAGTATTTCCTTTTGACTTTTCCTCAAGTCCTGTGGCACCTTCATGGAAACCATGTTTCTCTCTTTCCATTAGTTGTGCTCTATTAACCACAGTTCAGCTTTAATGATACAAAATCAGTCCAGATACTCAATAAATGTACCACTTTCACCTCAGCAGCATAAGCGAGACTCATCAAAGAGCTTAATTAATGGCTCCAAAAACTGGGCTTATTGCTTGAAGTGTGTTAGCGGGATTGTACAGAAGAGTCAGCATTATTCATGCAGGGTTTGAGCAACTGAGGCAGTGGAAAAGGTACGCGTCATGAAAAAATCTGTCTGCAAGATGCTCGACTCAGTGTCTTCTTCTCTCGTCTGGTGTGAGTTAAACCAGCTCATCTGTCCCGCTACCTTGTGCGGGGAAGCAGGAGTGGACAGACGAGCACATGGACTTTGTCACGCTGTTGGAGCTGTCAGAGACCGAATCGTTGTGTGTTTGTGTCTGCATTTGCTCCATGTCATGCCACAACTCAAGCAGTACCTCAGCAGCTCTGATATCTTGTCGGCATAACACATCTGCGCTTTAGAAGTACAAAATATAATTTCTTCCACTTACCTGCCTGGTTGGCTTCTGCTTCTCTCTTGGTCTTGATGCCACCCTCCTCTGGGAGTAAGTCTGCTACAAGTCCTTGCTCTCTTTCTGGGTCATCCAGCGACTCGTCTCGCAGCTGATCCCCAGCCTGCCGGAGAGAAACTATTCCCCCAGCGCTCTCTCCTCCTCTAGGGATCATCAGCAGGCAGCACAGGGCCAGCAGAGCCGCAGAAGCAGTCACAGCCTGGCTCTTCATACCTGCTGCTCTTCCAACTCGCACAATCCTTTGGTTTGGAGTTTGTACAACCGTTCAACACTCACTCCAGTTTAATTGCCAGAAGGTTCAATTTCACCCTTAGGCCCCCTTGTGTGCTCTTTCCTTGTGATCCACACTTTTACTCGAGAAGGGAAACCTCTGCAACTCCACACATACCCACACAGCCACAGTGTCAACCAGCCTCAGACTGCTCTAGACAAGAGATGGAGTGGGAGGGGGGTAGAGATACACAGGGAGGGAAGGGAGGTGGGTTGTAGAGACAGACGGAAAGAAAAGATGCAAAGCAAAGCAGTAATCCAGTCAAATGAATAGACAGGGTTCCTAATTACCCTGAAGCCAGGGTCAGCTGAAAAAACAGCGTAAGGCTAGAGGATCCCCTCCACCTGGCCGACAAGTCAGAACAGGTGCAGTGCTCAGACAGGAGTTGGAGGGGGAGGATGAAGGAAGGCAGGTGAGGGCCCCAGACTGCAGGGTTTGCACCTCCTGGAGTTAAACGCCAATTTTTCCTACGTCCTCGGCTCTGGATGAATTCCTCAGTCACCACAAAGCAGCAGGAGAGGGGAATGATTCCTAGGACATTGAATTCCACAAGCCAAAGAGGAGGAGGAGGAGAGAATGGGCAAAAGGGGGAGGATTGGGACAAACACAAGCTAATCCTCAGAGTGAGGAATTCCAGAAAAGAAGAAGAGGAGAAAAAAATGGGAAACAGGCAGGAGTAAAACATAAATTCTCCTTTGGTACTTAAAAAAAAGAGGATCTCTGCTTTCCATCACTTCAGTGTGTTGCACTGTCGTTCATTCCTCTGAGTGTTACGTATTTTTCTTTCTCCTTTCTGGAGAAAAGGTTGTGTTACACAAAAGGGTGTGTGTGTGTGTGGGGGGGG